GATAGATTTGCACACTGCTCATAAAGCCTTCCGATATATTTGAAATTCCCCCACCGACAACTCTGGTATAATAGCTGTTATTTTTACCTCATCATTATGTTGCTGTTAACCTGGAGAACCATCGAATGCTCGTCGATCATTGCAGAATGGGATCTCAATAGAGGCACTGCCTGTTTCGACTAAGGTCTCACATAGGTTTTCTAAGTTATGCTGTTTTGACCTGATCGAGAGATAGATTCATCTGAACCTTCAGCTCCAGATTATGCATTATTTATTCATCATATTTAAATATTTGCAATGCTGTTTCAACTTCATATGGTCTTCGGTGCCGACACAATGCCAACAAAAGAGTGGATTAGAAGTTCTATTTGAAAGCATCAGTCTAGAGAAGCTAGCTCCGAAAACGATGAATGTTGAATATGCTTTTGACCATAGAAAGTGACATTTATCCTCTGTGGACAGTTTTATCATCCCAGGGATTGTATTTAACCAAGTAATTTACTCTAAGGTGTACCTCCAGTTGCACCGGTTTGGAATAATCTCAGACTAGGAAATGAATGTTATGGGAATGTTATGTTTGCTTGCTCACTTTTCGTTGAAGTAGGGATATCTTGCGTTCTTTGATGTCCAATTGATCCTTTAATTCGGCCATTTCCGTTTCAAGTTGACGTTTTGCGCTCTGGGCATTCGAAAGTGCTTTAGTTTTTTTCTCCAACTGTGTCTCCTTCTCCTTCAGACGTTTGCGAAAATCTTCCGTCTAATCGAAAAATAACATCGGAGCGATCACGATGAATGGGTGGGGGTGAGAAGGATGAACAATTTGGTTAACATAAATTACATCAGTTGAGAAGAAAATTGCAGAAACCGTCATTGGATCAATATTTCTAGCACGACAATGGAAAGATTAACAACGCATAGTGAGTGATTGATCAATTTTAAAATGCAAAATGTTGGCATCTTGTGTAAAAACATTCGATGTTTATTCTGAAATTAAATGCATCTCATGTAAACTTTTCTCCAAGTGTGTTGGTGCTATCGCGTTTCTTATAGTCGGAAACTTCGCGGCGTAAGATAAGGCAAACTTTTCCGCTCCGTTTCAAATTCAGCTGTTCAGATGTGCAGTTCTGTTTGACAGACTCGAGTTGATAGTCGGACTGTGTGCATCAGAGAGAGAATGAAGGAGGGGGTTGTAGCAGTTCAGTCTGCGGAAAATTAGTATTTTTGTCTGGTTTGTAAATCAATTTGAACACTCACAAATAGTTCCCAAAATAAACCCAATACACCCAGGAATGTCAGTTCGAATGAGTGCAGCATGTGAATTCGAAATGTGACATTGGCATTAAGAACAAAAGCGACTGTACAGTACAGAAGTATCAGTTTTGTTAATTAACTGCAGATTGGGACAAACTAACGGGGAGAATTTGTGAGGTGCTACTCCACTCAAAACAACTTCAACTTGGATCTGAATGCAACCACGGCAGCCGCGGTGGAGTCCGGCTGTGCTGTTTTGCTCATGACTCATAGAAGTTTGTCTCATTGCGGTAGTACACTCGGGGCTGCCGAAAACGTAACGGAACCGCACCATTCTAGAAGTTAGGTAGCGTTTTAGGGAGCAGAATTTCCGGTGGGTCTTAAGGGGCCGTTGATCCCGGCAAAGCAGTGAGCGCTTTTCCAGTGAGTTATAAGAATTGGATGTTGGCAAAAATTGAATCCTTCTGGACAATGTCAAATAAGAAACATAAAAAAGAAGTTAGATGTGTATTCCGAAATCCATATAGAAACAACTTTGGCATAAAACCAACAGTCTCCTTTCTCTCCCCGAGATACATTGACGGGATGAGTTCCGAACTTAGGAAACATTATACACTATGCTGATAGTCCACATCGCATGATTACAGTGACAACTTTCTAGATTATCCGAGCAGTTATTCGGTTTGTTCACTAGAGGCTGTTGATCAAACTCCGTTTTCGGGGTTCTTTATTGTGCCCAGCGGTAAATCATAATGATTACCAATGCCATTCTGGAAAGAGAATTGATAACAGTAACATGTGCGAAAATCTGGTGTCTGGTCTTGCTCCGCTTTTCTACGTGTAAGATTTTATAACTTCTCAAGGTCTATATCCGATTAGATCTATCCATTTAGTGAACGAGAAATTGTATAAAGAAAATTACATTGTAATAATAATACCTACGTAAGTTTACCGATATGCACGGTTAATGAAAACAATTTAAACTGAACTGTTTAATACTTTTAACAAGGATTTCGAAATCGAACTAAAAATTTCTACCGCGGGCAATTTCTGATTGAAAGTGTTTATTATCGGAATATTTGGTTATAAGTGAAAACTTTTCACGTAAAATCAAAAAATGTCACCATCTGTTGCATTTGATCTCTTTATACTTAAATGCAGATATGTATAATCCACAAATCAACCTAATCACTTCCAAGCGATCCTCGTCAGATATGGTTAACAGTAATCTTCAAGTCCATAATATTTTTCAAATAATCACGACAAAAAGCATACTGAAACAAGAACTGTTACAGACAAATCCCACTCTCATCAAAAACCCGTACACGCAATTGGAATATGCAAACACGAACTATCAGAATCTGTGAACAAAGTTTACCTATAACGAAATATCAACCACAGTCGACAAAGCTGCAATTTGTATGAAACCTGTTCTCTTTTGCGTCAAGAATCAGAGGCTGTAATTTCAAAAACCCGATCGTTTCCAAAGAATAACGGCATCGTTCATTTGAATCGATGTCATTTATTTAGTAACAGTGGTTTAAAGAAATGCAAAGGTTAAGGATTTGGTTCACGTGACCCACATCGGTCTTGATTGAATGCAGTCGACTGTAATCCATAATCAGTAATCCGTAGAGAGGCTCACAGCCCTTTCTGTCTGTCTCTCAGAGAAAACATTGTGAAATAAAGACGATATGCCAACAGCAAAAAACATAACTGCTTCAATTAAAAAACTATGGTCATTCTATTATCTAGAACTATCTAATTTGATGTTCCGAACAGCCCAGGAATAATTGGCTTGAGTAAAGTTATTCAACAATCACTCTTGGTATTACACATTTGAGTGAATTGTCCGAATTAAATTCGCCAGGCCATAGTTTCAGTGTGCGTTTAATTCAGCATTCCTTACTTCCGTCCTTTATTTACTGGCTAAGTACTTGGTGGGAATAAAGAGGACCTGATTTTGATGGGGATTTCGACGGGAGTTAATAGATGGTGTACTCTGTCTTCTTTTCATGGTTGTTTGGGTAGAAAGAAGTGACCGAAAATCGTTGAACACTACATCTGAAATTGCATGAATTAGTGGTTCTGGTTAGCTCCCTGTATGAGCTAGTTGGCACGGTGCCACCACACAGGCCTTCGGTTAGAGGTTCGAAGCCTGGACAGTACGGTGGGTATGCACTACTGATAAGCTCTGACAGTATGAATGAGCTGGGGGTTGTGAGTGGAGAAGGAATCCGAATGGGGGGTCAATTCAGATCATCAAGGTTTATTCAACATCACTGCTCACAAGCTACTATCCGTATTGTCACAATTTAAAACAATAAGAATAGTAGATTTTTTGAATATATTGAAAATTTATCTAAATGGTTCCTATCTGATAAAGTTCCGTTCTTGTATACAAAATCAGGTGTTATTCTTAATGCCACCAGTGATACAGATACTAATACAAGAGTGTCTGGGGCCTCTTATCAATCGAATGGGCTAATCCAAGCTACCGTAAAAAGCACTACTGAGATGTTTATATTATCCTTCAACACGAATAAGTTATGATTATCGTTATAATTTACTAATAAATTTTATGAAGTTGAAATTGTTCAAATTCCAGTAGCCTCGGTGGGATTCGGACCCGCGCATGGACGCCGCCTACGCTTTTATACAGCGCATGATCTACCAGTGAGCTACGAGGCCACACCGATGGCACTAATCTTATCACATTCGAATCACCCATCGAATCCGTCCGAGATTACTTAACTTTTCCCAATTTGAATATAGGATTCCAATCTACTAAAAAATAATTTGAGCAATGGCTTTGCTGCTTGATACATACTTTTTGCGATTTACACAATTTAACCCTATATTTTTCCACCAGCCATCCGTCCGATTTCATTTTTGCACCCACCGTCAGTTAATCAAATTTTTCGATTTTAAACTAAAACCTCGATTCTGTTAAACTCCAGAAGGGGAATGTATCCATGAGTCCCACCTTAGATTTAAACACGCATAAAAAAAGTTATTATTAACGCTGTGTTTGTCAGCTCATAGGACAGCTAAGTGACATCATAGACTCAAGTTTTGTTTCAGTTGTCATCCTCATAAATAGACATTTAGTGATTGGTCCGACAGCAACAGGGGAACTCAGTATGCTATATATTAACTCTAACAGGAAGCTTCGCAACAAATCAGATATGCCTTGCAAGCCCACGCTGAATTGCCTGGCTAAATTTTGATTCACACATATCCTACAGCTATTGAAAAGATAAAATCTGGAACTGGTCTGTCAAAAATATTCAGCAGTATTTATTACATGCTGCTATCCCCAAGTAATCGTGAGTTTCCAAACCCTCTGATGTGATTTCGGTGAAGCCTTACTCCAGCCAGAAGTGTTGAGTGTTCTAGTTCACGAACAACCAGGCACCTCACTGCTAGTACATCAAGCTTGCCCTTATTGTACGTGCTGCGTACATGTTATACAGGTATTGACCAAACTCGTGCAACATCCTGATTTTCATCGCATTTGTTCCTCTCAATGCTTTGTTTTTCCAGCCTCATTCACGAGATTGAATATAATATTGCCCCACATCAGACGCAACATATCTGATGTAATATCCACTTATGTCTTTGCTTCTGTATATATGATCTTGAGGATGCTTCATCACTGGCCAGGTACTAGAAGCCACCCTACTCCATCCTACTCCATCCATCGGCCCTTGACCGTTCAACGCAGGTCACCTTATCGGTTCGTATTGCCAGCAGCATATGGCCGATCGTTCCAAGTAAAATCGTTGACTCGGAAAACCAGTTACTCAGATACATGCGTATTCTCCGTTGTTGCTGACCCAAGATGGTGTCATCGTTATCCTGGCCCGTTGTGTTCCCTCTGTGTTGATGTGTTCATTATGAGATAGTTACCGGGAGGAGTCATGATGAGGAGATTATACTATCAATACAGATCAACACTAATTTACTTTTCACCTCACATATTTGACAAAATACTGTGCGAAAAAGGAAGTAACACTACCCGAGTTGGTTTAGAACAGCCTGATTCAAAAAACATGAAAACTTTGATCCTTTGTCGTTTGCGAAATAACATAGTTTGTCCAAGAAGACCAGAACCACATCCAAAACAATCAATAGTGTATCCACCTTTCAACTCCCCCACCCTCATCCATCCCAGGCAGCGCTCATTCATAAATTTACCCCAACTGAAGCTGTAGACCCTCACTTTTCACCACCAAAACTATGTACACAGAAGCGGCTAATCCACACCCATCTTTTAGTCCTACTTTCAAGTTAGTCATCATCATCACCATCGGCACCATTCTAACTACAATCGATTTCACCCAAACACAGACACACCAGTACCCCCACCCCCCTTTGGTCCCAAATGTCCTCTTCACATCCAGTCTTCTTATCATCGGTTCAGACATGAAACAAGGCAAGAAACAGTCAGAATATTTTCGCCTTCGAATCCGTGCTCTCAAAGATATAGTAGTAGTAGTAGTAGTAGTAGTAGTAGTAGTAGTAGTAGTAGTAGTAGTAAGAGTATTTGACCAAATGCGTGGTTTTGTGAGCAAAAGATGGGTGAATAGACAGCTCCGATTGCATTCGACTATGATGTGCAGAGTGGATAAGTCTGCTAAACCGGATAATTATGGACCAAGTGAGTAGTACACTCAATGCATGTCACCTCAATTTTTGTTGAAACGTTTGTATTCTAGTTGACATTTAAACATCAAGTTATACTATCCGAGTTTCGAAAAGCACAATCAGCATCATATTGATTCATAAAACGTTTTCGTTCAGAGTTGTTAAAAACAGTTGGGAAATGCCTCATTATTATTATTATTAGTTATTACCATACCTTTCATCAGTGATAAGCAGAATATATATCATTAATTCGACGCAAAAAAGAGGTGATAGCTAAAGTTTTTGATCTGTTCAGATCTAACCAAACTTACATCGGCAGTGAGCATCGAAATTTTATGCTCTCTCGTTTTCACCTGTTCTTTCAACACATTGATGTGATGTGTCTGGTCCTGGTGTTGTTTGTCCGTCATCTCCAGACGCGATTGCAACGTGTAGATTTCACAATCTCGTTTGGAAATTTCACCATTGAGCATTTCGATCTGCGTGAAAATGTAACAAGATGAGGATAGTCGCAAGCTTTCTAATAGGCACACACATTCGCAAAAAGGATTTTTGCCCTTATGGGGACTGTGAACCCAATCGCATCTGTGCTGAAAACATCGCTGGTCAGTTTAATGTCGTCTCGTATGGAACGCCAGTTTATATATACACATGGTCCTGTACGGTAGAGCACATAACGGAACAATGCGCACGAGTTGTTCTTTGTGAGATTGTAGTAAGATCAGATAAATTACTGATTGACTAATGGATTTCTCTCTCGCTCTCTCTTCATTTACTCATTCAATCTCGCTGTCTATCTGTCTACCTATGCATCTACTTCCCATTTTTGATCATCGGTCATGGTCATGGACGGATCATTTTCATTCTCACGTTCACTGAGCCAATCACGTGAATGCATTGTAAGCCAATGGAAGCATAGAGAATAATCTCTGCTCCAGTTTATTTAGTTCAGAAATTGAATGAAGATCCACACAATAGCGATCCTTGCCAAATGGTCTCATTTAAACGTGAAGCCCAAAGACTCAAAGAATATCTTGCCGTGGATAAAGAGTATTTATTCCGAACCTAATCTTCCACATTAATGTTCTTAATTTTCTTAGGTCATTATTTGAATACACATATCTTCGGTTATCAACGCGAAGTAGACAGTAGTAGTTCAGAAGGCACAGCTCAAAATAAGACAACATGAAACGGAAAACAGTGTGAAGTAATTGTAAGGTGGTTTTAGTGCACGAAGTTCATAGTGTTGGACACTGAGAGGAAGATATCTGGTGACTGTTGTGATATCGCACAAGCTGGATCAACCCGGCTTGAAAAAGACCTTTTTCCCCAATCTTCATCATTGATGCACGAATGTAGCGCGGAAAATCATTAATTGCTTTTGGAACGCTAAATGAGCGTTCGGGAGAAACCCAATTGTTCCATTGTGGATATACCACATGTGGATCAGGCGCACGGTAAGCATTCATTCCTCCTTTGTCCCATTGTTTGGATAAATGATCTTGATAACTTCAACCCTTATACGATATTTCCAACTTGTTTCATTCATACGTTTCAGGTCAAACAGACAAAGCTATGTCCATCCAACTTATGAACAGAGCTATGTGTGAGCACTCAATTAACCAAAGAAATAGAAAACTTTCTGTTCTGATTATCCGTATCAAATTATTATGAGTCACAGGTTAATCGCAATTAGTTGAGAGTGAAACCAATTGATGTAGTATGGGTTATCACAACTGGACTGTTTCAGACCAACCTTGGATTTGAGCAGTCGTTCGTTACTGCGGAATGCCTGTAGTGTCTTGTCCAGATCATCAATTCCGCTGCTCGTGGACGTATTTGGAGTTATCAATCCATCATCGCGGAGTCGAGCAATTTCATCCTCTAACAGACGAATCTCGTTTTCTAGAGTCATTATTTTTGATTCCTAAACAAAAAAAATTAAATGTTGCACGGAACAGAGATCACAATGTGTTATTGCATCTTGAGAGACTTTCAATCGGTATCTTGGTTGCACCAGTGAAGCACACAAAGTATATGAAAGGCTATGTGTAACGTTTTTAATTACTGAAGTTTAGATTTCAGGTAAGACCACCCATTTTTCACATCTATTTTCCGTGCGTTTCGGCCTCCCTTTATCCACAGATTGTTGAAATTTCGAGCATTTGTCTCATAGTACACTAACTGAATTCCAAAAAGAAATTGTTTTCATTTTAATTGAACTGTGACTATTGACCATAACTTCCCAAAATGCTATCGGGATCAGTTCACTGATTCCGTGATGACTATTCTCTAATATCAACTTCATTAAGGCTCAATGAAGACAACTCTAAAGTTTAATTGCTCCCCTACTTTTGATTTGATCTCGGATTGGCTGCGCATTTTAAACACATTAGGTTGAGAAAGGTACCTCGGTTGATGTTCGCATGTAGCGCACAGTTAGGTGAGCAAACGAACGCGATTTGGAACTATGAATGTGAGAAAATTGTGTTTGGTAATGAGATAAATGTTCCAGTAGGACCGTCCGAATGGCTTAGCTTTAGCTGATTTACGATAAGATTGATAAATGCACAACATGTGAAGTTTCAAAGTGGATTTAGTTATGGTCTGTGGAGCCACTGGTGAGACAGAAAGAAGTTCAATATGTTTTGCAGATGTTGGAATCTTGCATCGGGACACTCCATAGTCATTTCATTCACACGTTCTGCTGGGACAGAGTCAGATAGTTCCGATTTTAACAGGACAATGCTTCCATTCACACCCCTGACACACACCCGATAACTCGGTTCATTCCGTCTACTGGACTTGTCATCCCATGGGCCTGATTTAAATGAAAGTGATCGAGGAACCATTGCAATCTTTTGGCAAAACGAACACGTCTTTTCATACAAAAGATGAACTGAAAAAGCTACTGTTAAAAATTGAACGAAATTAGAATTGGGATTGGGAAACAATGTACCTAGATGTTGTTTGTTTCTGTTCACAAATCAACATGAATTGTATTTCCTGAAATGCGGTTATTTTGACTATCCATTTGGACCACCCAAAAGCGTTGCTTTCGAATGCTATCTGCTCTGATCAGAGTTCATAATCAAATTAGGTTAATTTATTTCGTGAATCCAGTGAGCAAGTGTGACATGTGTTCCGAACCGGATTACTGAAATGCACAGAGAATACATAAGAAAAACGAGTCGCTCGGCAGAATATCAAAGTGCCAACCGGCTAGCAGAATTTGAGAATATCTGATGTTTCCAGAGTTCTTTTGAAGCATATCCAACATCCATGGAGAATTCGTTTTTTTTTTGTTTTCGAACATCACTGTGCAAGTCAATCGATGAACTCATTTCCCATGCCCCTCTCGAGTGCCGCTGTGTCATTCAGAGACTGATGCGCAGTCCAACTTGGTTTAGATTTGTTCTATGGAGAAAATTTCCTTGTCAGGTGATGCGAAATAAAATTTCAGCCGAACGATTGTTTTCAGAATTCATAATCATGTCCATTATTGTTAAGTGAGATTAAAAAGTCGGGATTGGGAGGATAACGTTAGCATGTGTGGAATGAATCATTGTGCAGTTGAGTATACGAGTTAGACAAAACATTGTCGGTTTCATGCCATCGGGATTTTCACTGATGTTACGTTGTTAGTGAGACCTAGTTCCGAGGATCGGCGTAATTGTGTGAATGTGTGTGTGTGTGCAGAGCAAAGTAGAGCACAGGAGTGGGTTCGTGAACCCAGGGCAGATGAAGAGCTTGGATTAAACGCATATGGGCCAGTGGCTACCAAATGAGCGGCAATCACACTTCAGTTGGATCCGGAACCACCTTCGCTCAGCTAGCGTGTATGGTACTTTTTCATGCGCATGGATAACAGCAGTGTCATAGCTGGTATTAGTCGATCACACACGGGCTCTGAACATAATGATATTAACAGAGCTAATCACTTGATTGATCTTATGACTGTCATATCGGTTAAGCAAGTCTTATACAGTATATTGTTTGGTTTGATGCGCAATCCATTTACTGAGAATTTACCATTGTTGTAATTTCTTTAGTCAACAATTTATCACGTTTGATCCCCAAAGAGGCATTTATCAAACTTCCTTGGAAATTTTAGGCATAAATTACTATTGGTCTAGTCGTCTAAAAAATTGTGAAAACAGTCTCACAGAGCTCATCGCAGATCGAACACAGAATGTATGCTTGTTTTCAGTGATCCGTTATAAAGTCAGCCCACCTTTTTTACACCACTAGTTAAAAGAAACTTTTACGAAGAGACTTTCCGAATTGCACATCATTCGGGATTAATCTAGCCTTGAAATCGGATCTGGAATTCGTAATGATAGCATAATTGTGTTAGTCCGTCCGATATAAGGGGACAAACCTGATGACCCAGACAATTCGGTGTTTTATCACGAGAGCCAGTAGGCTCGGACATAAAACTTGGAGTATTGAGTTATTCAATATCCGAGTAATACTTGAACCGGGAGGTAGCGGAAAAGTCTTTCATCAAAACTTTTCAGTGTGATATTTTGGCGACAATTCGATGGAAAACTCGTTTTTTTGAAGACTGCATATAGCGTTCACACCAAGAGTAAATATCAACTTTTAAGAAGAAAGTATTTCTAAATTATTCGAAACCAGATGATTTTCCATCAAATGGATTTTTGAAAAGATACAATCATTGATTGGATTCAAACCCATGCATGAAAATTGCCTACATTCATGCCAATGACGATCTGTCCGCGACATTGGCGATTCTGGATTCGTCTGAAACATGTGTAGTGCAGTGTGGTCTGGCGTAGGCCGACTGGCAAATGTTGTTGTCGGACTGTCGTCGTGGTCCGAGATTAACTATTTTCAAAGTTTAGATGAGGCTCAGATTGGAGAGGTGTTTGTGCAGTTTCCGTAGGGGATATTCTACAACACAACAACGGCTCCAGAGGTGGACCGAAAAGGAGTTCAGTAAAGATGAAAACAGTTTCTGTTGTGAAGTCCATTTTGCCGATCGAGTGGTAAAATCACTGTGTGATTGTACAGATTCGTACTTATGTATTATCAGAAATTATTCTGCGTTCAACAGGACAATAAGATTATTAATTGCTAATCTATGAGCAACTGAAGTTACACCCTTTTCTGCTCACCTAGGAAATGATTGTGTAGGGTGAAGTAAACCATTTCCGCTTTGTATCAGATCAGCAACTCGAAGCAAGCGTATAAGCGAAAGGGATCAATATGGGAAATGAATCAGTTTGCATCATCAATTTTGCCCATATTTTAACCGCTAATGAGACTAAAACACAAAGAGTATTTTTATGATTTTTAAATCTCTTTTTTGCGTATTTGTCCACTTCTTCACCTGAGTGAAAAAATAGCATTCGATCAGAGTAGAGTACTGGGAAGACTAGATTCAACAATGTTTCAATGTTTCACTCCTTATAAAATCAAACCATACACATAGTATGAATGATGCGTTCTCAATTACAAACCAACCAAACAATCAACCAATGAACTAACTAACCAACCAACTAAACAAACACTCAGTCAAAAATTCAACCAACAACAACACTAACATCGGTTACCATGGTAATTATTTTTATTCAAAAGTCACAGGATCACTGCACAACCTTTTTATTCTCCCTCATTTATCCATTTCGAAATTAGGCTAGATATACCTGTTAATGATTTTAATCCCGTCCCTATTTAACTTCAACAGCGGGTGGTAGTGGCCCCATTATCACCGCCCAACATTCCTCATCGTCTATTGTATGGCAGCCCTTTAATTGGTCGCTTCTCCTTCCTGAAGATTCTATCAATACGTATGTAGTAAAGGGAAGTAAAAATGATGATAAAGAAAGGATAACTCATTTATGCATGAAAGATATTTCAGATTCGGGGCATGAAGAGAGTATAAACACATTCCATCTGCGAAATTCCGGCTTTTGTACAGCTAGGCCATGCGGTCTTAGCGGACTGTTGTCGATTACACTGATGGGCTTACAGTCTTGGTCGCGGTTACAAGAGAGATGATGAAAATGCCAATTTGAAGTTATCAAATTTATTTAATAACAAAACAATTGACGGGTACTTAACGCGTTTTGGCTAACGTCTGTTCAGGGGTGTATGAATAAACTATTAATGTTGGTATGTATCGGAAAGAGGGACTAATTTTTCATATATATATATACATAAATTTCTTCTACAGATTATCTTCTTGAAGAACTCAACAAAATAGACTAATTAACTAGCGACTGCATCAGCAGAAAACAATTGGCAAAATCGCGGATGGGAATGTTGCTTATTGATTTCAGAAAGACTATTTTATTCAACTTGTACGTTCTTGGAGCCATTCAAAAGAGTAATTTTGCCCATTCTTGTGACACAGATTACATAATCGAACTTCAGAATGCGGAGTGATTAGAACACTACAGTATCTGTATATATGTGGCTAACCAAACGCGCACATACGTGAATGTGAACATACATGCCTATAAATACATATCGTATGTAGATACGAAAATATTTATTTATGCACTTTATATTACATCAGCAAAACCTTCAATTGATTGAGACTCACTGTACCACTTGCCTGTGGCGGAATTTGACCTGATTCCAGTGGGATATAGGAAGTCTCTCATTACTGGTCCTGATCTTTGTACTTGCGATATTATGTAAATGGCTTCCGATCCCGGCCACTTGGCCACTTGGGACCGAACAGTTTTATCAGGGGATAAGCTAATTTATGACACCATAAAGGATTACATTACGATTTTGCAGTCTCCTCAGTTGTGCTGATTTTCTCTTGAGTATCCGGTTCTGAACAGAAATCACGTGTTTCATAAATACAATAATAACAACAACGACAGCAGCAGCATCAACAACAGAAACAACAACAACACAATCGTCATACACGACATCATCAACATCAGCAAAAGTAAAATTCGTATTATTATCTCTATTAATACTGCCAATTTACCGAAAAAATCTGTCCCTGATTTTCTACGGTGATATTTAGGGACAAAGGACACATTTACCTGTTCCTGTGATTCAACACACACAGGCATTTGTCCGAACAAATCCGTGTATTTATCCCGCATGGTTAGACACAGGAACGATAAGGTCATTCACTACAGCAGTTGTTTCACACCTAGCTGAAACAAATCACAATATTATTGTAACAGAGGCATTTCACCCTCCGGTATAGGGTTTGCGGTCGACTATCAAGGCAGATTCTCTGTCGTGTGCTTGCTGCAGTGGAAGCGGCAGGAATTTGTCCGCACCGTGACTTTCTGTGAGCCAAAAATCAATTTGTGCAGGTGCTGAAGCTCCAATGACCCCCTTCATACACACATATATATACAGGTCTAATCGAAACTGAAGCAACGTTTAACTGACACTCATGCAGACTAGAAACTACGTGGATCGGAGTAGACAAGATATAAATTAAAGTATTAATATAGTGATAAATATAATGAAGCTCAATTTGATCACAAAGAAACTTTTTTAGTGCATCACAATTGGCCAGTACTATATATATATATATATATATATGCATAGTGATGTATTGGCATGATGAATAATCACTGAAAATGAGCTTCATTGAAATGTACTCCGTGGAATTGTTTAGACAATACACGAAACCCTTCACAAAAGCGCAAATATATTGATTCTAAATGTAACTTATGTGCTCAGGTTTTTCGCATCCTCACAACTAAAGGCTTTTCTAATCTATCACTGATGGGGAACTTGCAAACCTATAGCTGACGTTGGTGGTGTTTGAAGTAAAGTTCATCCGCAGAACCGTTCCTCCTCCAAGAAGCTAAAAGGCCTACTCTCCTCGTGTTTCACCGTTTGGTGAAACGATGTATTTATTGTGTACGACAGACCACAGTTTTGCAAACAATCATTATTAAAGCCCACCTGAAGTCCAGAAGATCAAGTTTCTCGGATCTTGTCAGATACATTTACCATGGAAATGAAAAAAACAATTGTGACGTTCTTCCGGTTGCTTTCAGGCGGGCAATGTCTTATTCTCTCTGTTGGCGAGTAGGTAAGTCAACAAGTGAGACGAAACACACAAGTTAGGCCCGACTCACCTTGGTGTCGACAATCGACTGAAGTGTCTGTGTTTGTCTTGTATCTTGTCTCAGTGTGTCATTCTCCTGTTTCAGTTGTCTGTGGTCTTGCAGAAGTAGGTTAAATTCCTGCAACCGCGGAAAGGGTAAAAAGGAAACAAGTGGTACAACGAAATAAGTACACGTTCAACTATAAACTATAAGAAGTAAAGTTAACAAAACTCAATATGTTTTGTGTATGTACATCTGTAATCAATTTGGTGAAACTCTCTAGAAGTGAGACTGTAGTCAAGTGCATGGTATCAATAATTGTAAAGTAATGCTTGAACGAATTGACCAAAACCACTGAAGCCATGTTCACAGTTGTTTTACAGAACGGATAAACAGTTCATTGTTTTGCGCAAAATATTCGCTTTTTCGAATCAAAACGAAGCGCTGAAAACAAGTTTCTTCGCAATAAGACCATTCGAATTTAAGAATACGACTGTATAACCAAACAAAAAATTTTCACCTGCTTATTTCGGTTGAACTTCCGACATACCGCAGTACATTATCAAATTTAAGTTGTTTTGTGCTTATAGGCCACTCTGAAGTCTGACCATCGTGAAATCCTCAAGTTGCTTCGGTCTGTCTTTCATATCCACCCTAAGGTATTTAACCAACCCGAGATGATGATCAAGAACCAAGGGTTGATCGTATGTCCACAGTTTGTGGTCCGCCTATGTTCAAACCACACTGCCATCATTCAATTTTTGCACATTGAACTTCCGTCTACCTGGAAAGTTGAAAAATTTCTTTATCGAGATAAATGTGAAGAGAGAAAACAACAAGGCTAGGTTGCATAATTTATGCCAAGGCAGATTCCACTACATCCCAACTGGTAAAATATGACAGAAGAGTACAGTTTTATCATCAAACAGTATGTCAGGTTACACAAGAATACGACAGAGACGAATCCTCACACTTTTACCACTGTCAAGACAGTGACAGTGTGACTGACAGTTCTTCTTACACACACAAGCCAGGTTGCCATTTCCTGATTGCAACCGACTCGGTAAATCTAGACAGCCGGGGGTTGGTGTTATCATAAATGATCTTAAGTTGGCTTGTCGGTCCGGACCATGGTTCGTCATCACCAAATGTCGACCGATAGATGACCCGGGCTGTTTGTGTGTTCGGTGTCCTTGGGTAAGGGTGGGGGTTTGCACTGGTCTACTGTGACTGAGTGTTAGTGGTGGGTGATGCCCGTATGGGGGTTTGAGGGGTCAAATTAGAGAATGACCTTTGATCATATGATTTGGTCAATCGGCGTCTAATCCAACAGGAGATGTGCTCCTGGACCCGTGTTGGCAACTGCCTAACTGTTCCGTCAGTGCAAGATTCTCCGCATCCACATTCAAATTGGTAAATGACGTGTGATTTGGTGGGGTAGTTATGTACAGGATGATTGGGTTGGCAACATTATAAGTGCGTTTTACCACATTTTTCAATCGGTCGTGGAAAATCAGGCTGATATTGTCGCCTTTGAAGGGAAGGCCAACGTAGACCTTCTTCTTAGGGACGTCGTATTCTGCTGGTTGTTGCTCTGGTGCTCGACTGAACTTCTCAGTAAAACTGCTGGAGTAGCCGTTCTCGACAAGAATTTATTGGCGTTTATTGGCGTCTAGCTCCGCTTGTAGGCTATCCTCGGCGCAAATACGGCGTGCTCGATGGAATAATTTTTTTCTACGCCACGCTTGTATTTGAGTGGAGCGAAACTACGAAACTTTAGATATTGACCCGTCCATGTACTCTGGCGGTATACGGTCCTGAGAATCATTTCGTCTTGCCTCCTTGTCATTTGAATGTCTAAGAATGCGAGGCGATCGTTTTGTTCTTCTTCCAGTGAGCAATGTATATTCTTATGTAAACTATTCATGATTCGAAGGCAGGAAGTTACTTATTGTTGGTCTTGACCTATGAAGAGCATATCATCAACTTATCTTCTAAATAATGTAAACTGGTTTGTGATATGTCCCGCCTCGCTTTCCAACTTCGTGACGAATAATTCCGCCTAAATGGGCCCCAAGGGGCTTCCCATCGCCACTTCGTCTATTTGCCGATAAGCTTTGCCTTGGAAACTGCAACTGATGTCTGAAACACATTAGAGCAGGAGACGTTCCAGCTCCGACAGCGGTAGGCCTACTTTAGACTATGCTGCTCGATATACTGTAAAGTGTATTCCATTGTCTCACGCAGTGGCACATTAGTAAATAATGGTCCAATATCAATAGAAAGCAAGAATTTATTTTTCATGTTCAAGTGGCGTATTAGTTCAACTAGTTCAAAACTGTCCTTAACGTTGTATTTAGATATACGATTCGGAACTGGTTTCAACAACTGTGTCAACCATTTTGCCAGCCTGTGTTGTGGAGAACTGATCAATTATAATATCCGGTACCGATATTCCAAATCAGTGAGCCAATTCTTTGTTTTCTTCCGATTTAAGATCATTTATGATAACACCAACCCCCGGCTGTCTAGATTTACCGAGTCAGTTGCAATCAGGAAATGGCAACCTGGCTTGTGTGTGTAAGAAGAACTGTCAGTCACACTGTCACTGTCTTAACAGTGGTAAAAGTGTGAGGATTCGTCTCTGTCGTATTCTTGTGTAACCTGACATACTGTTTGATGATAAAACTGTACTCTTCTGTCATATTTTACCAGTTGGGATGTAGTGGAATCTGCCTTGGCATAAATCATGCAAACTAGCTTCGTTTAGAAAGTTTTAACGCTTAGAAGTTAGTAAGTTTCATGATGCTACACTTGTACCCAAACATCGGAATCGAATTTATATATATATATATTCAAACAGTGTCACTGTTTGAAAACAACTTGTCATTTCACTTGACTTTATGAATAAATATATGAATAAATTTCTAATAGCGTTCTTCACAGTATAAATAAGTAGTCGGGTACGGTTGAGATTCTACACGAATTCGATCAATGGTTGCACTGATAACTTATTCCATTAGCATTTAATTTTAGCTTATGACGTCAGAAACTCTGCGTCTCTTTTCCAATTTAATATATCCTGTTTCTACGTTGATGAAATCTTATGAAGCAACGGTATCGTCCAATTGAAGGTGGAACTATCGAACATTGAGAAATACGGAACAGTCTCACGTCCATAAAGAGATGTTTGTTTTAGAGGTAAATTCGTTCGATGTGAAAAATAGGGCGGAACCACACTGGTTTCCAGTCATCATTGCATTCTGCCTGCTGGACAAACCCGTTGCTTCAAAAGCTGGGCGTTGTGCTCCACAAGATACCGTCCTCATTGTAATGGGACATTTTAAGTTGCTAAAGTGATAAATTAAATAGAAATTGGCATATTCATCAGTGAAAAATAGATACAGTTCTACTTAATCAAAAAAGAACAAACTAAAGATTTTCAAAGTTTGGATGGCAAAATGAGTTGCGGGACAAGCAAACGCTTTCAGTGATTCTTAATCATGCTGTGCAAACCGTAAAGTGGATCATAGTTTGATCTGGCGACAGTTATTTGCCGGGTGTAATTTCGTCAGTCTAAGACTGTGATAAGACGGATGAGGATAGATATGGTTATGCATGGATATTGATGGATAGGCAGTTGGGTTGTCATTTCATGTGATTTTTTTCCTCTTGAGTCAAGTGATACCCTTAGCGTATTACCAAAGCGACCCAAGCGGCTAAACCGGTCTCTTTTGGGTATGAGGTTTATGGTCTAACAACTGAATGACACCGTCCATGGTTAGAGGAAAAATTCCAAGCATGCGGGTAAGATAGGACGGAGAGAAAATAAGCCGCTTGATTAAAATGGACCGATGCGTTACGGACACGACTGATGACTTTTAGAAATGTTGGCTCCCATCTTCTTCCGTCGATCGGGTGGTATGTGAAAATCAATTCAATGAGCAGAAACCTATCATGTTTTTTTAGTAATGAAAGGACCACTTTAAATTTCTGACCCGATTCCCCCTTCCAAGGAATATTCGGAACATATATCCCATGGTTTATGGGCTATGCAACTTCAACCATTTCCCGATTCCGATTACTCACCGATTTGTTCCCAGCAATCTTCTTCTTACGGTTTTTGCTCAAGACCGCTGACACCTATAGATTCTCCTATAGCGGTTACTATAATTGAATCTCAATCAGTGGACACAGTTTGGATCAACAAGCGGCAACACAATCCCAAATTCTACTGCGTTGCAACTGGAACTGATTTGGGGTAAGACTGAAGGAATTTTAGAGTCTTTTCTGTTGGTGATGATGATCACTGTTAGTAGTGAAACGTCCACATTGTGGTGCAACCTTTCGTGAATAAAACATTCATCCTATGCACTCTGTGCGATTCCCTTGACCAATGATGTTCCTATATTTATTTCAATCTCCAGATTGCAGTAACGTATACTTCCTGACAACTTTTCAAACAAACTCTTTAGAACTTTTGATCAAGGATAAGATTTGCATTGATCTGTTTCGGTGCTTTAACTTGGCACTTTTTCTGCACAAAACGATAAATTTCCACCTAGTGAGTTACTTGCATCAGTGACATTGCAAATGAGCCATTCTTTCACAAGGACTGGGTTTTGAACTTTGATATTCGATTTTGGTGTTCAAACTGGATCCCTCCTCTCAAACGTCCGGTGTTTTCATGCAAACTGCATGCTTTTATTTTCTCTCTATCCCCTCTATGAAGAGCAATAACTGCAATAGAATTTGACAGAGTATTGAAGATAGGTTCTCGTAGTACGGGTGAACTTTTTGTCTGTTGGTTGAGTTTGTTCCAAGACGCTTCATCTCCAGCTGAGGTGAGATCTTCAGTGCATGTGAAGAGTTCAACTTGGCTGGTGATGAAACTTTTGCAAGTCAGTTGCTCAGCCTGGTTAACAAGCGAAGATCAAAGAGAATTTCCTGGAAACATTCAGACGGTTTCGTCTCCGTTATGTCTCGTTGAGTGTGTTTCTCCGGTTGTCTATTGTCCAGTCAATTATTCCGATAATATCCGTCAAGAATCACCAGAAATCCTCTATAATATCACTTTTACGAGAGTAACAATCCGAAATAAATTATATCAGAATTATTTCAAGGTTTCCATAAGAAGCGTCTGTCTGGAAACCTCTCCTGTTTGTTTAAACGTGATTGATATCAGGCTCACCTCTAATAGATGGTTACAAATCGAAAAAGTGACTGAGAGGGGCCTTCGCCAGTAGTTTTCTTCATTATATGTTATAAGCCGTGAAAACTCTTTGTCCTATTAGGATACAGAAAGCAGTTGGGTTGGATAAACTTGCATAAACCCGATTCCGAAACCAAATTACATACACATACTGATATTGACCGTTAACTTTCAATTTCACAGCAAGCCGATGAAAAACTCGCTCTACTGGTCCAAAGCTGGTTGTCTAAGTTGCACGTTGCTGAACAATATGTCTTTTCTTTTTTTCTCTTCACTTGTTTCTCTCGGTTGATTTGGTTATTTTCAGTTCCGGGACTTTGTAGTCCGGGTCAAGGTCAACAGTGTGATCAGCTAAAATGAGTTCCCCATGTCCCAGTTATCATCATACTTATTCTGGGGTTGGTCAAAGATTAACTCTTAGATGACAATTTAGCATGCGACTTTTGCGCGTTTGATGCAAACTATCCTTTTTGTAGTTCTCATCAAGTGACAATCCACTCTGTTTATTGACATTCATCGCACTATGAGTCGAGAACAGTTCGAATCCCAAACTAGCTATCTAATGCAGCCAATGTTGATTAATTTCACGTCCAACTGGCATGATCCAGTCACTTCAGTTACTGGAGATCCATTTAATTATAAAGTGGTCTCGGGGTTCATACATAACCCGTCGAAACCAAATTACACAAACAACTTTAATCTTTCCATTCTTCATCCGCTCCTATGAATCAGCACGAAGTGGTCATACTTTTCTTAGAATATTTGAAGTGGTGTTCAAAATTCCATCATTGTGGCTGTTACTTATCGCGGTCAGTTGTATCCATTACTCAGGTCTTGTTTTTTGTGTAACTTAGTGGCAATTGGGCTGTTTTGTTCTCGTCGGAAGTAAATTTTACTGACCACTTTATTTGGGCGGGGAAGAACTTGATACAAAATTTATCTCTCATCATTCGAACTCGATTGATTGTTTCTTAAAGTTCAAGCCAGGTTCAAAGTCTTCATAACCTGATTTTTTATTTCAAAGCATTCAGTTGGACACATTTCCGGTTAATACTGTCCTGTGGTTCTAGAGATAAAACACAGCACATTGTCCTCAAACATTGCAATTTTGTCAATAACCGGTTTCCTAGCATCCAGTCCACCATGGGTTCAAATCGTTTTATAGCGAATCCATCTTCAGCTGTTTGCACGCAATCGTGCCATTTTCGTCACCCCGCCCGTTTTTTCCCATTCACAAACTCAAATTCAGATCGCAGTTTTGCTTCGTTTTATCCCGATTTGCATTCATGTGAAAGGGTGGTGGTG